AGGGACCTTATCGACACGGAGAACGCAGATGGGGACGTCTACAAGATGTTCCTCGGAAGCTTTCTCGAGGAACACGACAACAAGATGATACAAGGCGCAGCAGTACCTCCTGTCAGCATTCGAAGCGGGCCATGTATCTCCACACCGGTCGACCACGCAGAAACTCTCCCCTCCTCCATGTACGAGGCGCCAAGCTCGCCGTACCAAGCTTCACTCACACCCAACTCGGCAGCCAGCCGCCATTCACATGGGCGCCCGAATGGCCTATCACCGATGGATGGTAATGGTATACCGTGGGGAAATCTTCGCAGCCCAGACACCGGAAGCTGGAGGAGGTCATCAGGATCCCCGCAACAGCAGCAGTTCCAACAACATCACCGGGGTCACCGCCAGGCTTCATCTGCCGGCACACCCATGGATCGCGGCGGAGAGGCATATATGACGCCTCCAAGCGATCGAAGGGAATCTCAGGGGAAGCGAAGTCCTTTCAATCGGGCCTCGTGGTACTGATCTTATGGCATCAAGTCTTCGAGGTCGGAGGTCTTACTTCGATCCAAAGCTGGCAAAGAGCATCGGCAGATAGACTAACTAATCTGGTCATCAGACTGATATTGATAGTACGGAGAAAGCATCGCGATATTAATATACCTACCTCCCAAGTTTACGTTGATGCGACGGATAGCCTTACCCGAGTGGTCAGTGACAATCGATGATTTAACGTTGGCGAATGCGGATGCGTGATACTTGACATCCGACGATATTGCCGCCATCGACAAGATTGTGTCGAGCAAGCTGTAACCCAGTTAGCCTACAGCACAACCGCAGGACTCGGGGACGGGTCTTCAACCAGGGTCTAGCGACCTTACGGAGCCTCAAAGAGTTAATCACGCTCCCAAGCCAGCACAGGACTCGGTTTTCAGAGCATATTACCTTGCCACCCCATCCTCTTCTGGTCCAGATACCTTCAGCGTTGTCCCTGCGACAGCTTCTGAGAACGATTTAGCGAACGCCGAAGACCGTCCGGTCGGCGGCTCTCGCCCGTATCAAGACCGCTGCCAGAGAAGATCTTATAGTACTGAAACATCGCGCCGTATTCTCACCGAGGAGAAGATTTCAACAAACTCAGCGCATGTCTCTGACACTGTATTCACCGTTGTGGTCGCAGGCCAGTCAGTTGTGGAGAGGTACTGGGAGATAGGGTATATGCAGATAACAGATAGGCATACATATAGGTACATTATGCTAAATCCCGATCCAGGCATTCTGACGCCCCTTTCCACTTCAGCCGAGGCGTGTTCAGCTGCGCTAGACTTCCTTCCCACAAGCAATCATTCTCGACATCAGCTGAAGGGTCGCCTTGCGCTACCTACTCCATCTCCCATGCGCCATGTTCCAGAGATGCGTACCTCCGTGCCTCCGCGAGGTAACATGGAGGTCAGCCGCCGGCGTCTCACTGGTCAGCAGATCTGGGAACGGGAAGCGCGAAACGAGGTTCCTCTCAAGCTTGCTTCGACACTGGGTGGACCTCGGACGGGGCGGTCCGATGGCTTGATAATACGCGTCGTCCGTCCCGATCCCGTGAGATGACCACGAACAACACTACACGCTACACGCTCAATCGCGCTTGTCCTGGGCACCCAATAAGCCCTCCTCCTCCTCGTCGACGGCGTCGCGGCCCGCGGCGCGGTGCAAGTGGTGGTCGTCGTTGCCGCCGTCGTCGTCGACCGCCCAACCGCGGCGCGCAAATATCGCAATGATGGAGCTGGGCGCACGTGCTCTGTGTTAGCTAGCTCTCTCTCTCTCTCTGTCTCTGTCTTACTATCCCTCCACGCACCAACAAGGAGCAGACGAGCACTTACACGGTGAACCCGACAGCCAACACCACGGCGGCCACGGCGGCGGCGGGCAGGTCGGCGCGTGCGGCCGCCAGCACCGCCAGCGCGCGCGCCGACGTGGTCACGTCGTCGACCGGGTACGCGAGCTCGAAGAGGGCGCCCGTGGCGGTGTCGACCGCGGCCGTGGAGCCGAGGATGCGGCCGGCGGCATCGAGGGCGGCGACGCGGGCGAAGGCGGCGGAGTCCGCCGCCGCCGCCGGGAGGAGGAAGCCCGTCTCGAAGCCGGCGCGCGGCGCCCGCGACGCCACCGCGTCGCCGCCGTTGAGCCCCGTGAGGTTGTCGGCGACGAGCTGCGCGTGGGGGGGCGCGTATGTCGGTCAGTACGGTTGCCTAAGTAGGGGTACGGGGAGGGGAGTGCGGGAGGTGAGGGACACGCACCAGAGCGTACTCGGCGACCTCGGTGGCGCCGTTCCAGCTAACATACACGGCGGTGCGGTTCCCGGCGGCCGGGTCGTCTCCGTGGTGCCGCACGGCGGCGATGGCGGGCGGCCAGCGCGGGCGGCCGACCCAGTCGGCCTTCCAGGCGCGGTAGGCGACGACGCCGGCGACGCCGTGGTCGAGGCGCAGCCCGACCTGGCCGCGCTGGACGTCCATCACCACCTCGCCGCCGGGCGCGTGCTCGGTGTAGGCCGGGTTCTGGCCCCAGGCGACCAGGGCGTGGCCGGCGCGCGGGGTGGCGCGCTGCACGCCGCCGCGGCTGGCGCTGAGCAGGCCCGCCGGGTGCCGCCACTGCGCGACGGCGCGCACGGTCATGGCGGCCAGGTCGAGCTGCAGCTCCAGGCCGCGGGAGCAGGCGGCGTCCTCGTCGTCGCCGTCGGAAGAAAAGGGTGACGAGGAGGAGGAGGAGGACGTGTTGCGGCAGTACCCGTTGTGGATCCCGTGGTTGTCGAACAGCGTGATGCGGTCGGCGCCGCTGAAGCGCGCATTGTGCTGCCAGTGGAAGCTGGCGCCGGCGCGGCCGAACCCCGAGTCGGGCGGCGTGATGTCCGCGAATTGCGAGCGCTTGCCGCCGAGGATCCATTTGATCTGCGCCGTGGCGCCGTCGACTAGGATTATGGCGTGTAGGTGCCGGAAGCTCATTAGGAAGTCGCCCTGGGGTGTCTGCGCGTGCTGTCAGCGTTTTTCCTTTTTATTTTTTTTTTCCTTCGTGGTGCGGTGGTGGGATTCGTGGGCTCGGTATGTAAAGTAAGTATACCATACCTTCTCGATGCTGTTGAAGTGCCACGCGTCGTACGGCACGTCGAAGTGGAACGGCCCGTCCCCGTTGTACGGCCAGTAGTTGTCCTCGAAGGCGAAGTGGTCGGCCGCGTTGAACTGGAACAGCACTTCGTTGGTCACGGGATCGACTTCCTGCGCGTACGTGTTGAGGTACGGCTCGTCTTCCGAACCTCCTACGGGACGCAGGTCGGCATTCTCTACCGTGGCTACGATCATGGCCACCGTGCCCTCGTCCGTTATCAGTGCCTCGTGCGAATCGGGTTTCTCGCCGAACAGATCCCCTTGGGGCACGACTCGGTAAAGCAACTCATAATGCTGGTTGTAGATCTGCACGGCGCTCCCGGCGTTGACCCCGAGCACGGTCTCACCGTGGAAGTCGTACGTTCGAGCGCATTGCGATTCCAGGTAGTTCTGATCGGCCCAGATAAGACTGAGGTCTTTCGACGATATTATGCTGGGTCCGTAGAGATCGTATGCCCCGGTTATGAAAATATATGGGGTCTGGTCGATTTTGTCCCAGTCGAACTTGTTAACCTGGTATATGGGAGCCTTGATCGGCGAAGAGAAGAACTCCTGTTTTGGTTCGGCACCCAGGGCACCGTCCTGGAACGATTCGAGGTCAGTGTACAACGGCACGTCGGCTCGGGTCCGGGTAAGAAGACAGGAAACAGTAGCGATAGCAGTGAAAGTGATCCCCGAAGAGAAAGATAAGGTCAGAGAACGCAACATCGTCGTGCCAGCAAGGAACAAGCAAGCATCACCAACATCCCAGCCTGTCGAGAGAGAGAAAAGGAGACGAGGAAGCAGCAAGGGCCAGAGAATTCGGGACGTCAGGACGATGTAGGGTGTTTGCCTAATAAGTAGCAGCTAGTGCGAGACAGGACGCGCGGGCACGGGAAGGGATAGACGCCGCCACGCAAGAGAAGCAAAGCGGTTTACCGTCGAAGAATGGCGATTCGATGGCAGGGGACGCTAGACTCGGGCGCAGACTCACAGAAAATGCGTGAGATGGTGTCGCCGTGTCGTGGTCCCATTGTCCTGGACCGTCGGCAACATCCCTCTCGACACTTACACACAAAGAACTTCTTCGTATTGCTGACCTAAGGCCGCCACCACGACCTGACAGGCGGCGTCTATTCTTGGAGATCTCGCGTCGCCTGGGGTGGGACTCGACTCGACGATCCCTCTGTTCCACGGTACCTGGGCAAACCGATAGCTGTGTGTCGAGATTGGTTGATCCGTCCCATCTCGTTGGGATGAACTGTCGGGCTAGGGACAGCCCTGCCGCGATTCCGTGTTCAGGGGCTGCCTGCCGCGCTGTCAGTGCTGCCACTTGTACAGTACTGGCAGGAGAAGCAAGCATACATCGCCTGGACCCAACCCATCGATTGTCTGGAGCTATGCAAACGCGCTGCAGATCTCGCTGGTTCAAGAATTCCATGCAGCACACGGGGCTCCTCGGTGTTGATGACAGTGTACTCTGGCCAGTGGCCACAACCAAACGAACACCTCTTCCGCCTGCGTCCTCGCCATGCTCGAGGTCAATACCTTATGCTGCGCCCTGGAATGGTTTCTGCGGCCTCTTCGCCTTTTCGCAGAAGAGACCAGGTGTAGTCTGGCTGTGGTAAGATAAGATGCAGGAGGTTAGTAGCATCAAAGCCAGGCCGCGCCAATGGGACCACATGAGGTAAGCCGAGGACGGCACTTGGCATTTGGTGAGCACCAGTCAGCTGGAAGCTTCATTTACAATTCCTACACGGCTTTTCAGACAAACATATGGCCTTCCAAACGTTGTGACATATCGGGAATGACTGCAAGGTTATTGACGCCTTGGCGTTGTTAATATAAGAAGTGTTAGCAAGATTTGGCCAACAATTAAGTGTACCAGCCCGTATAGCTCAGTGGTAGAGCGCGTCACTCGTATGATCTCCATGTGTAATGACGAGGTCCATCGTTCAATCCGGTGTGTGGGCATTGATATTCGAATTTTTGTCCTGTGGACCTGCCTCCACTCTGTAGGCAATAGATGGTATCTCTTCCTCTTTGGCTTTTTGGTGTTTTACTCCTCTTGTATACTTCATTTTGCATGTCCTGGTCTGCAATGTGCAAATAGATATTATCTACTTGTTACGCGACCCTGAAGACGATTTTCACTCCTACCCTTTGCAAAGCGACTCACCTTGTCATAAAGATATGGAGGCAACCCGATATGATTGACAGACCAGATACGGTATATGTGCAAGTTAGGTATGGTCTATTCAAGTTCACCACCTCTTGGGCGCCGAGGCGCCTCCTGAAGTAAAGGTCCGGCTCATGACGTTGGCGCGTGCCCGTTCCTTTTCCAGCTTGCTGAGGCCTACCTTGTCAGTGATGGGCGTGGCGTCGATGATGTTGTCAAACGCATCGTCATCCTCGTCCTCGCCATTGTCAGAATCGGGCTCGATGTCCGAGTCGACTTTGTATTTCTGGGGCTGCGGCGGCGGTATTGCTTGGGGTTTTGGCTTACGCTCGCCGTCGTCCGGGTTGGCGAAGGTCTTGGAGGCCAGTACCTTGCGTCGGATCTCCTCCATCTGTGCAGCATCATCGTCGCTGTCGTCAGATATGTCGAACGGGTCTTTACTCCGGTCCGGCTTTTTCTGGTCCTCGGTCTGTTCGCCTGGCTTCGGCCATTGGGCGGGTTTCTTGCCTAGATATATGCCGTCTACGCTCTCGTTGTCATCGCTTCTCGCTTCGTCATTGTTCTCCTCGTCTTCATCCCCATCCTCTTCCTCCTCCTCATCCGTATCCGAGTCAACGATGGCCCTTCGGTTGACGTTGCCACCCTTCCATAGGTCATCGTCGTCGGCATTTTCTCTACTCTCCGCGTGCTCGCGCTCCAGGCGTTCCAGCCAGGCAGCTTCGGCCTTCTTGATAGCTTCCTCGTCGGCGCAGGCAGCATACTTCTTGAGCAACTTGGAATTTATGGCCAAGAAGGACTCGCCATAGTTGAAGGGGCGCAAGGCGATCTCGGCCCAATCCGGATGTCCACAGATATAGAACGCAGCAGCAAGCGCCTCGACACAATTTAGGCGGTAGGGTTTGCCGTAATTGACGGTGTTGGCGGCGACGAGGTAGGGGAGGAGGCGTTCACATTTTCCGCCAACCTTGTTCCACTGGATTTCCTGGGTTCGCGCCCAGGAACACTCGACTACGGCGGCGCCGTACTGGTCCATCAGTTCCTTGTCGGCGGGTGACAGGGTGTGCTTGCCGTTGGGGGTGATGATGACGCCGTTGTGTCGCTGGCCGAGGTGTAGGTCGCGCATAAGGCCGAGCTTGATGAGCTTCTTCCCGGAGCAGCGTTTCGGATCGCAATGGTTCAGGTCCCAGCAAGCGGCCTTGAAAGGGACTTCGGCGGTGTTGGGATCCTCGGGATCGCGAGGACGTGGGCGAACATTGCTCTTCCCGCCGCGGAAGTTATGCTTGTCTTTCTTGTGTCGAACCATGGTCTATATTGGCAGTCTGGCAGGAGGAGATGAGGATACCTCTCCGCACACTTGGACGTGATGGCAGGCGACAGTGACGAATATGAGGAATGGGTGGCAAGGTGGGTTGCGATGGAAGACAAGCCAACGTGGGGTCGCCCTCCGTTCAAGTTTCTTTGGCGCAGCAGATCTGAGAAACCCGACAGAGCTCTGAGCCCCTCCATCGGAAGCAAAGAATCGATGGGGACGTCAACAGCTGTTGGGGGCCGACGGCAAACCCGGCACAGGCTGACACTGACGTCGAGGGTCTGTCAGGCAGTGCAGGACACCTAACGCCATGCAGTACAGAGGCCTTTCCTAGCAATAGCCCCCCCTGTAGCCCCTGTCGGCTAGCAGCTATCCGTCGGCGGCCTTCTAAGTTCTGCCTGCTTCTCCACGCCGGCCCCTGTCTCTACCATACATTGACCACTCCAACTATTCCTCGAAATAGAGTCAAGTGTTGATCTGTCGGTGTCTACCAACCTGCACTTGCAATGCTCACTCAGCGCCCATTCTGCTAGCACTGCTGTCGCCGGCACGCCCGAAGAAGAGAAGGTTGCTGTTGGAGCTGGCCAAGCTCACCCATACCACTCTCATCCTTTCCACGTAACGATAGGCTCGATCGCATTCGGACACGCACCAACCGACGACAGGAACAAGCACACAAGCACCATGGAGGCTGCCTCTGCCCGAGCGGCCGCGAGGGATCGCTGGAGCGCTTGGAGCTACCCGCGGCCTTCCCAACTCCAACGCTTCATCGCCAGCGCCTGCAGCCCCGAGAACTACGAGCCCAATCTGGCCTTGAACCTCGAGATCGCCGACCTGATCAACAGCAAGAAGGGCACCGCCCCGCGCGAGGCTGCCGTCGCCATCGTCAAGTACATCAACTCGTACAACTCGTACGACCCCAAGCGTCGGACTAATATTCTGGCCCTCAACCTGCTCGACATCTGCGTGAAGAACTGCGGCTATCCATTCCACCTGCAGATCGCCACCAAAGAGTTCCTCAATGAGCTGGTCCGCCGCTTTCCCGAGCGGCCCCCTATGCGCTACTCCGAGGTCCAGACTAAGATTCTGGAGTTGATCGAAGAATGGCGCTGCACCATCTGCGAGACGAGCCGATACAAGGAAGACCTGGGCTACATCCGCGACATGCATGCCCTGCTTCACGCCAAGGGCTACCGCTTTCCCGAAGTTAGGCGCGACGATGCCGCGGTCCTGAACCCCAGTGATGTGAGTATTTTACCGGGGAGGGGATCCAGGGCGAGGGCGTACATGCTGACCTGAGACCCCAGAGCCTCAAATCCGCCGAAGAGATGGAAGAGGAAGAACGAGAGGCCCAGTCTGCCAAGCTACAAGAATTGATAAGACGCGGCACGCCCGAGGATCTGCAACAGGCAAACCAGCTCATGAAGGTCATGGCCGGCTACGATACCAGGTCGAAGGTCGACTACCGCGCAAAAGCCGCCGAGGATGTAGGCAAGATTCTGGCCAAGGCCCGACTGTTGGAGGAACGCCTGTCTGCCATTCAGCCCGGTGAGAAGTTGACCGATGGTGATGTTTTCGAGGAATTGGCCGCGTCGCTGCGAAGCGCCCAACCCAAGATCCAGAAGATGTGCGAGGAGGAGTCTGACGACCATGAGGCGGTCGCCAAGCTCTTTGAGATCAACGACAGTATACATCGTACTATCGAGCGTTGGAAGCTTATCAAGAAGGGCGACATCGCCGGTGCCGAGAAACTGGCTCAGGGAGCGCCACTGCCAGGACCTTCGTCGTCAACAGGACCCGCTGCATCAGCTGCCAATGAGCTCTCTCTGATAGACTTCGATGCTGAAGCGAGTTCTAACGGAATGGGCAATGACGCTGGCCCGAGCTCACAAAGCGGCGCCGGTGGTGTCGCGGATGATTTGCTCGGTCTATCATTAGGGGAGAGCAGCGGCTATGGGCAAGGCGGTGGCATCTCTCTCGGCCTTGGAACGAATCAGAGTTTGTCTGTCGCCTCGGAAGCTTGTTCCGTTTTGCTAACTACTTGCCAGATACACCCGGCTCATCGTTGTTCTCTTCCATGGCCCAAAGTACCACGGGGATGGGACCAGCGCCAACTATGAATACCCAATCCTCTGACCCGTTTGCTGGGTTCCCTTCGCAGCCGGCATCGCAATCGAACACGCCAAAACCCCTTCAAAATCAAACCTCGGTCTTCTCGCAACCTCCACCGCAGCAAGCCGCAGCACCACCTAGTGATCCCTTTGCGGCTTTGGCCTCTCCCCATTTTTCGTCCAGATCTGCTACTCCTAAGCCAGCCGCCGCTCCTCCCGCGGCAGCAGCACCGGCCGCAGCGACGTCGAATGACGACGATGAATGGTCGTTCTATTCGGCACCTCCGGCGGCACCAGCGCTGCCCAAGGAGCACTCCGCCACGGTGAAGGATGGTCCTTTGCAGATCAAGATGAAGGCGGGAAGGTCTCAACAGGCCGGAAATGCTATTACGTTCATGTTTTCCTTCTCCAATATGACCCCGCAGCCTATTGATGATATTGGATTTCAGCTAGCTGTGACCAAGGTATGTTGTCTCTTGCCTCTCGAGAATCCACGACATGGGACTGGTGTTAGAAGGCAAAACTAACCTTGTTTCACTAGGGTTATGAGTTGCAGCTGCAATCACCGTCTGCACGTTCGCTGCAGCCTAACCAACAGCAGGGAATCATGCAGGCCATGCAAGTGTGGCACGCCAATGACAGGAGCCGCAAGGTGGACAGCATCAAGTTGCGCTGGCGTGTCACTTACTCTCTTGGTGGCGAGGTCAAGAACGAGATGGGCGAGATACCCGAGTTTGCCATTGCATGATCAGGTTCTTCTGGTTATATTTCGGGCTAGCAAAGGGGGGGAGAAATTAAACCCGTGAACTTGATTCGCGGCTGCAGAGCGGAGGGAATAGCACAAGAGACAGGTTACAAAGAGGGGGAGAAAATAGCATGGCGCAGAGCTCGAAGACTGGGCAAGAAGAAGATGGAGAAGAAGAATAGAAAGAAGCAGTGTGGTGATCTGGTGATCTGACTTGGAGCGACCGTCCTTTGCGTGATTCTCCTGTTCTGGACATGTGCTTGCTCTGCCTCTGACTCGCTATTATGTACCCTCGCGTTGCCTACTTGAGTAGTGGGATAGGCGGGTAGCCTGCATTCGAGGTGTATAATGAAAAGTTTCTGGGAAAATGCCCATTATGATCTGTTGGGGTCTCACTGAACCTCCAAGCACTGCCCGGCTTGTCCAGATAGCTGGATACTCCATATATGCATATATATACGGAGTACTCCGTAGTACATAGCGTATGCACGGATCAGCCACTGGAGAGCCGGCACAAGTGGGGTCGGGCAACAGGACCGGCGGCAGGATGCAATGTCGGTGCCGGTGACCGAGCTCCATTGATTTTTTTTAAGTCGCAGTCCCGGCCGATCGCCCATCTTGCCCATTGCT